AACTCCCCAATTGACAGAATTATTGATAAACTCCACAATTCACAGAATGATTGATGAACTCCACAATTGACAGAATTATTGATAAACTCTACAATTCAGAGAATTATTGATGAACTCCCCAATTGACAGAATTATTGATAAGCTCCACAATTCACAGAGTGATTGATAAACTCCCCAATTGACAGAATTATTGATAAGCTCCACAATTCACAGAGTGATTGATAAACTCCCCAATTGACAGAATTATTGATAAGCTCCACAATTCACAGAGTGATTGATAAACTCCCCAATTGACAGAATTATTGATACACTCCATAATTGACAGAATTATTGATGAACTCCATAATTGACAGAATTATTGATAAACTCCCCAATTGACAGAATTATTGATAAACTCCATAACTGACAGAATGATTGATAAACTCCCCAATTCACTGAATTATTGATAAACTCCCCAATTCACAGAATGATTGATAAGCTCCCCAATCCCCAGAATTTTTGATCAGCTCCCCCATCCCCAGAATTTTTGATCAGCTCCCCCATCCCCAGAATGATTGATCAGCTCCCCCTCCCCAGGTGGACGCCGTGGTGGGGGCCTGCTGCGCTTTCCTGGGGGGGCAGCTGCACCCCAGCAACGCCATCGGCATCGCCGCACTGGCCGAGCGCCTGGGCTGCCTGGAGCTGCTGCAGAGGGCCCGGGAGTACATCTACATGAACTTTGCTGAGGTAACCGAATTTTGCCAATTTTGCCATTTTCTCCCCCTTTCCCCCAGGTGTCCAAGCAGGAGGAGTTCCTCTCCCTCTCCCACTGCCAGTCCCTCTCCCACTGCCAGTACATCACTTTTGGGTTGTTTTTGATCCGAATTTTGCCAATTTTGCCATTTTCCCCCCCAGGTCTCCAAGCAGGAGGGGTTCCTCTCCCTCTCCCACTGCCAGTACATCACTTTTGGGTTGTTTTTGATCCGAATTTTGCCAATTTTGCCATTTTCCCCCCCAGGTCTCCAAGCAGGAGGGGTTCCTCTCCCTCTCCCACTGCCAGTACATCACTTTTGGGTTGTTTTTGATCCGAATTTTGCCAATTTTGCCATTTTCTCCCCCTTTCCCCCAGGTGTCCAAGCAGGAGGAGTTCCTCTCCCTCTCCCACTGCCAGCATATCACTTTTGGGTCTGTTTTTGATCCGAATTTTGCCAATTTTGCCATTTTCCCCCCCAGGTCTCCAAGCAGGAGGAGTTCCCACTGCCAGTACATCACTTTTGGGCTGTTTTTGAGCCCATTTTTGCCATTTCCCCCCTTTTTTCCCCAGGTCTCCAAGCAGGAGGAGTTCCTCTCCCTCTCCCACTGTTAGAATGCCATTTTTGGGTCTGTTTTTGATCCGAATTTTGCCAATTTTGCCATTTTCCCCCCCAGGTCTCCAAGCAGGAGGAGTTCCTCTCCCTCTCCCACTGCCAGTACATCACTTTTGGGGCTGTTTTTGATCCGAATTTTGCCAATTTTGCCATTTTCCCCCCCAGGTCTCCAAGCAGGAGGAGTTCCTCTCCCTCTCCCACTGCCAGCTGGCCGCCCTGCTGAGCCGCGACGAGCTGAACGTGCGCTGCGAGTCCGAGGTGTTCCAGGCGTGCGTGGCCTGGGTGCAGCAGGACCGCGCCGCCCGCGCCCCGTTCCTGCCGGCGCTGCTCCGCGCCGTGCGCTGCCACGCGCTCACGCCGCGCTTCCTCCGCGCCCAGCTCCGCCGCGACCTCGGCCGCGACGCCCTGCGCTACCTGGCCCGGGTGTTCCGTGAGCTGTCCCTGCACAGACCCTCCGGAGACCACCCCCCCGGCAGGACCCCCAGGGTCAGGCAGATGATTTACGCCGCCGGGGGTTACCTGAGGAGGTCGCTGAGCGCCTTGGAGGCGTTGGACCCCGAGGGAGGGCGGTGGGTGAGGTTGGCGGAGATGGAGACGCCGCGCTCGGGGTTGGGGGGATGCGTGGTCGGGGGGCTTTTTTACGCCGTGGGGGGTAGGAATAACTCGGCGGAGGGGAACACGGACTCGGCGGCCGTGGATTGCTACAACCCCGTGAGCGGGCGCTGGTCGCCCTGCGCGCCCATGAGCGTGCCCAGGAACAGGATCGGGGTGGGAGTCATCGACGGGCTCATCTACGCCGTGGGGGGGTCGCACGGCTGCACCCACCACTGCTCCGTGGAGAGGTGAGGGGGTGGG